CCCCGGCTACAGCGGCGTGCTGGCGCCTCGCGGTGCCTGCCAGCACCCAGCGGAGCCAGACTGAGCCCAAGTGGCTGTTCCAGTGTTTTGTTTGAAGTGGGTCAGGGAGCAGCTGGCTGAGGCTCACCTTGCTGGAGGAGAGCTTTGGCTGCAACTGGAGCCCCCAGAAAGTGGGAAAATAGTGCTGTGAAAGAGAGGAGAGGTCAGACCCAAACCACGGCCTCTCGCTGTGCCCGTGTGCCCTGGCTCGCTCCTGCCTGGCCCAGCAGGCTGAGCCCCAGTGAGTGCAGGGGACAGCACTGTCAGTCCCTGGCTGTGCCCACGCTGGCCTCACTGGCCAAGCCACGTGGTCACATGGCCCAAAAGTGAGGAGAGGGGACAGGATGGCAGCTGCTCTGGCAGAGCCGGAGCCTGTGCCGTGCCTTCCCTTCCCTCACTGCCAGTGCCTGGTCTGATGCCTCCTCACTGACTCCCAGAGGCCCTGATCTAGTTTAAAAAGAAGCAAACCAAAAAGTCTTGTTGCAACTGTAAACATAGCAGTTTTGCAGCCTCAGCACCCTCCTTCCCAGTCCCCGTTCAGAGGCTGAGCCCACCACCTTGCAGGCAAGGTGCACTGCAGAGCCGCTGGCAGGAGCGGGTGGGGAGCAGCCTTCTTGGGAGAGAGACCTGGGATGTGAGCAGAGGGTGGTGAGGAGGCAGACGGGGCAGGTGCCCACCTCCTTGGCAGGCACCCGCTGCATCCCTGCTTGGAGCTGAGACGTTTGGCTTTGCTTTGAACCAGTGCGACTGGAGATGCCCTCTCAGTAGGGGATGCTGATGGGCAACCTTTGGGCAATGTTTTGGTGCGTAACTAAGGCAAGAGGGGTGTTTTGGAGGCAAGAGAGCTGCAGGAAACTGGCTTCACTCACCTGCTGCCCCAGTCTGTTCCCAGGCACATGATCGTGGCTTGTCCCAGAGCCCTATCCCAAATAAGCATCCGTGCCTGGAGCTGGGCTTCAGCATAAAGGCAAAACCACCACTCCTGGCTGTCGGGAGAGCGCTGAGCTACCACATAGCATCACGTGAGGTACCAGGGAAGGAGGTCTCTGACTTTAGAAGCCTGGCTCAGATGTATTCCCACATCTGCCAACCATTTCCACTCCAACACCCCAGCTCTCTCACCATGGCAGCACCCCTGGTTTACCTCTGTAGGAGGCCTGACACTACTCGCTCTGTCCCTGAGCCAGGGAAAGCATTCCCTTTGACTTGGAGGGGCTTTGGGACACAAGACCCACCCCCATGCTCCAGATAGAGTTCTGGTCACCATGTCCAGCACAGGCCAGCGCAAAAGTCCTGTTGCATTTTTAAGACTCGCTGGAGCAGGGCGCTTTTTTGCACTAGTCACTAAAACAAGGTTAAAAACCAAAGGCACAGCCAGGTGCAACTCTCAATACTACCGAGGGCTGAATGACTAAAAGGTCACCAAGCATCTCCTTAATGTCACAGAGAACCGATGCTGGCTGTGTAACGCCAAGGTACCACCCACATCTCCAAGTATAATTTGGATTCCCAAGTAATAACCAGGCAGAATTTATTCTTAAGCCTACGTACACCAACCTCTGTTCTCCTGTTAGCGCTGCCTTCCTCATCCTTCTTTTCTTCAGGCATGGGAGCAAGTGGGAAGCCTCCTTCACTGCTGTCCTTCTTTGAGTGATGTTTCCATGACCTTCTCACATCTTCCTCTGGACTACTGAAGTCATACTTGTGGGACCTAAATGCCATTTTCATGGACCTGTCTGGGTCTTCCTCACTATCGTTTTCCTCCATGCGCTTCTTTGATGTCAGCTGCTTGGCCAGCTCATCCATTTTGTTCCACCTCTTGGAGTCTTCCCACTCCCTGGAGGACTCCTCCTCCATCTCCTCGCTTTTGGCATCCCTGCGCTGGAAGGTGTCCTCCTCCCCCTGCATCCCCTCATCCTCCAGGCGATGCCTTCCTCCTCTCAGTGCCCGGGGCTGCTCTTCCTCCTCCTCCTCAGAGCTCCGCTCATCTTTGCCAAATCCCAGAACATCGTCGTTATCTGAAAGAGCATTAAACACAACAGTGAGCACAAGTGTTAACCTGGTTATGCTCCACCTTTGAACCGAGCCTTCGGGCGTGATGCAAGGTGGGTTTCCTGACCTAGGCCCATTTTCCCAGGATTCTGGAAATACCCACTCTCACATCACCATGTCAGTAACAGGGCTTGGAGGCAGCAGTCAAAAACCACGTAGGAAGTTCAAGAAAAATAAATTAGTTGTCCCCAGGTGCTATGAAAACTGAGCAGCAGGCAGCTGCCGGGCCTGTGTTACCTGCTGTGCGTGGGCCCACGTGGTCAAGTGCTTGCAGGGGGGGCTGGGTGGCTGTCGGCGGGGGTGTTTCTCTAAACCCGGTCAGCACCTGCCTGAACTTCTAGGCTTTACAGCCTCTTATCCGTCTGCCCCAGTGCTATCACTTCACCCCGGGTAGGTATCAGTGCAGTCATCTGGGATACGTACTGTCATCTCCCTGCGTTTCCTCAGCCTCCTCGTCCTCCTCAGCCAAATCAAGTGACCTCTCTGCTTCGGTAGGGTCCTCCTCTGCAGCATCATCTCCTCCATCATCCTCCCGCTCCACACGTTCCCCTGCTGCCTCCTTGCTCTGCTCCTGGCCCTGCCTGGATGGCTGCTCTCCCTCGTCCTCAAGCTCCAGGCTGTCCCTGGGGCCTCTGGGCTGCTCCTCTTCATCCTCTTGCTGCTGCTGCTCATCCTCACTGAAGTCTTTGCTGATGTGGTTGTCCAAGGCTTTGTCTCGCTGGGCATCATCTATGTCACCAATCTCGTTGCTCTCTGCTTCCTCCCGATCCTCCTTCTCACCAGGGTCAGCATCCCGTGGCCTGGGCTCCCTCTCCTCCAGGCTGTTTTTTCCCTCCTCTCTTGAATCTTCATTTTGCTGGGTTTTCTGTGCTGCCAGCTCAGCCAGGGACCCCGTGGGCTGCTCCTCTTCAGGGCGCTCCCCTGCCGCATCTGCAGAGGGAAGAGCAAGAAGCAAGACCTCTCCTGAGAGCTCATTTCACAACCAGCGAAGCCCGTGCTTTTCTTAGGGAGTTTCAGCCCCACTCAGCAATCTGCTTAACCAGCCCATGGATCCTTTCGCAAGTCACTTCAGCATATGCTTGCATTCAAGCAAGCCGGTGCTCTCGCTGGTGCCTGGTTTCCTCAAGAGATTCGCAAGGCTGAAGTTAAACATATGCCGAAGTGCTTTGCTGTGGCATGGTCCTCATCACTATCTCTTGAGATGCCAGCAACAAACTTGCCCTGCATGAAACCCGATGGCACGTAAAATGAAATGACTTAGGAGTATAATATGGCACTTGCACAGCTCTCCCGCTCTGAGTGCTGCGCTGACATCGCATCCTTATTTCTCCCACCAGGTTGAAGAGGGAGCCAGTGCTGTTTGCGGGTGAGCCAGAGGGAGGGGGGGCCGGCTCTGCTTCTGCCAACAGCTACTCAGCAGGAGCTTCATGTGGGCTGGGTATTTGCTCTTGCTCGTGTCAGAGACTGGCCTCTTTTAACATAATTAGCCATAGAAATCTCTTTGCAAAAGAAAAGATGGGGGGCCTAAAGAGCAGTGGGAAAAGCCAGATGGGTATGGAAAGGCGAGCGCAGCCCCAAGCAGGCCTGAGGAGTGTGCTGGGGTGAGGGGATGCAGAGATCCGGTCACGCAGGGCTGGTTACCACCAGTGACACCGCGCTGGTGTCACTGGGCTGCCTGTGGGCCTGGACGGTCCCTCGTGCCACGCTTCATCCTCATGCAGTCTCCACGCTGCTGGAGCAAGAGGTTCAGGTCTGCCCTGGCAGGAGGGAGACCCAGTGCCACCCGTCCTCTCCGTTGGCTTTTGGCCATGCTGGCTGCAGCAGCAGCCCCCGGGGGTATCACTCCTCATCGCTTTGGGCAGCTTTGGGCAGCTTTGGGCTGATGTCACGGCATCGCTGCGCTGCCGTGGCTCAGCCACACACCCCAGAGCCTGCTCAAGACTCTCTGTGGGGGTGCTGCTGCTGGACGAGAAACTGTCTCACCCCACATTGGCATCGTCTCTTCCTGATGTGGAAATGGGAAAGGGCCAAACCCTCCTTCCCACTACACTACACTGCCTGTCTCTAGCCAGGCCATAGAAACACAGTGACAAGGGGAAATCCCAGCTGAACGTGGTCTTTCCAAGATGCAGGTGTTTTGTGTGGGTGTGTGCACTGTGTGTATCCCAAGTTCAATCTTCCCTTCAGAGTCCCATAATGTAATGTCTTGGATGCCTTGGGCAGCAGGAGCAGAGCCAGATCGCTCTTGCCTATATCACTGAGTCTTTCAGTACGGGATTCCCTGGCTGTGACTCATTTTAAGCATTAGGAGTGAGTGATGGTGTTGGCAGCAGGGTGGAAAAGATCAGTATCAGTTTGGTAACTTGACCATCACCAGTTACTATAGCTCAGAAATTACATGGTGTTTAAGCTGGTAAATAAGAACAAAGCAAACACTGGGTTGCTTGTGTGTGTCAGCAGCAGCATCAAAGAAGATGCCTAAATGAGAAGCAGATGGACATATCAAGGCTGTCAGAAAGAACATCCTTGTTTACAGCCTGACCTGGATTTCCTGGGGGGAGGCTGACACTGACCTCTCTGCTTGTTCCTGTCGTTCTGACTTTCAAGGACTTCGGAAAGTTCATCTTCGAAGCCACTGTTTTTCTTCTGCTGCTGAGTTCTCTCATTGGCACCTGTGTCAAGTAACAAAAAGTAGGGAAGGGCAACAGCCCCTCCTGTGTTTCAGAAAGTAGAGGCAGGAAAACAGTTCTGTGCCCTTTATAATTGTATGCATATTTTCTACAATGGACAAATCTGCCAAAGGGGAGCTGCGAGGAGAAGTGAAACTGGAGGATACGTGAATCAACTGCAGTAGCAAAGCCACCATCAAAAACATTATCTGCAGGAAAGAAAGAGGTCTTTAAACAAACAGAGAAGCAAGGTTGCTAGGAAAAGTAATATTGATGGAGAGCTAGGGAATAAGAGATGCTGAACTGCAGCACATTCAGGCAAACAAAAGACTTCAGCATCAGAGTAATGAAGGATAAAAATTGCCTCCTTCCAGATGCTGCCCACGTACCTCTGTTGAGCTGAGCACTGAGAGCCCCTGTGCCCCCCTGCCTGGTCGTGGGGGCCCCTCTCCCCAGGCGCTGCCCTCCTGGCACTCCCCGGGAGGGAGGAGCAGCATTCATTCCCGCTCCGCTCCGGGGATGGTCCAGGGCCCCAAGGCCCCACACCTTAGCCTCTGGCATTATGGAGCCAGCTTGACAAAAGCAACACCCTGGAGAAAGTCTGAAGGCAGCACGAGCTGGAGGTCAGAGCACAGCTGTCCTGGCAACCAGCGCTCCCCAGGCAGTCCCATCCCATGGGAACTGCAAGCCAAGCAAGCCCTGCCTATCCCAGCTCACACCCTGCTTGTATGCCTTAATGCAAAGGCAAGAGCCAACACTGCCAGCCCAGTCCTCCCTGGCCCTACCCGGGACAGAGCTGGATGGTGTGGGCTCTCCAGCCTGAGCAGGACTAGCTGCAGCCAGCGCAGGGGCCAAGATAAATACCTTCGCTTTTCCCTTGGGCTACACAACCCTCCCATCCCCAGTCACTGTGATCTGTAGATTAGAGCTCATGTTAACCCAGGACAAAATGGTGTGATGGGCTCAAGCCAAGGAAAGAGCGGAGCAAGATGCACCTCTCTGAAACAAGTGTCTTCATGTGGACTCCATGCTGTATGGCACAGCCTGTCTGATAGCTGAGCACTCCCCCTCACAACCCTGGTGTGCCTGGGCAGCAGCATCCCAGGGCACTGAAGACGCCCAGGTTTCTTTTTTCTGAATCATCAGAGCATCCACGGAGCCTGTCTGGGGTCACTGCTCGGCTGGGCCCTCCACCAGTGGGATTTGGGTAGTGACCAGACTATTGCTCTCTCCTAATCTTGGCTTCCTGAATTTTCCCTCTCCCTTCTCCCTGTTGCCTCTGTGACTTCCCTGCTCTGAAGCAACCTGGTAGCACTGTCTCCCAGCCATCCCTGGCAGCCGTGCCACACAGGAGCAGGTTCAAGGAGGAGGAGGAGGGAAGGCCAGGAGCTGCTCTCCCTGTAGCCTTGGGAGAGCCCTGTTGCAGCCTCAACCAAGCCACCTGGGCAGAGGGACCTGCGCCAGCTTTGAAGTAACCTTGCCTGGGACCTGCACAGCAGCTCTGGGCACCTAAGAAAACACCTTTTCCCCCTTGTACACCCCTTTGTACAGCTCTGTGCTGCTGCTGCTTCTACATTGACAAGTGGTGAGCTGCCCACACCTCTCCAAACCAAAGGAACTTGCATTCAACCTAAGGAAGCCAACAGGAAAATCCCCACTGGGGGCTTTCACTGGGATCTTTTAGGTGCAAGTCCTTCTCGAGGCTCAGTGAGGCTTCCCTTGTGCCACACCTGGGTTTAGCGCTAGACTCCAGCTGCACAAACAGTGAAGGTTTTCTTGTCTTTCATTTTAGCTTGGGAGCTGGTGGCTATTTGTTGAATTCAATTACAGTATTTCCTTTTAGGGTTCTCCCACCCCAAAATACCTATACTCTGCATTGCCACCAAGTTACATTGACAGTCATTTAAATCATCAGATGCTTACTGGAGTTATTATAAGCAAAATTCCTGTCCCCACTCACCCAGTCTCTACTGGAAGTCCTGTAGGGCACATTTATATGATGTCAAATTAATGTAAGGTACAAAAAAACCCAAAAAACAAAACTGTGCAAGGGGCTACAACAGATGAACCCCCTCTTCCCAAAAAACTGTAGTGAAACTGTACCTTGAGCCGCAATTTCCTGAAGTTCCTTCAATAAATTTTGGTGGCGAAGGATAGAAATGATTCGTTCATCTGCAATAGAGGAGACCTGGTACAGAAGGTGGTCAAAGACAACCTCCCCCCACCCCCAGGGAAATGAAAAACAACCCCAAATGCCACCTCCCTCTTCATTTACTCTTCTCTCCCTTGGCCTGATCTGCTGCCGCATCTCTTAACCGTGTGGGTAAGATGACAGGAAGGTCCCATGAAAACCAGGCCATTTCATGTCACCCAGCACCTCCCCCGGCTGCGGTGCCAGCATGATGCATGGCCTGGGCCGAGCAGTGGCTCCGTCCCGGCTTCTGGGGCCTGGTGCAGCCTGGTGGGGTGGCCACAAGGAAGGTGAGTGTGTCAGGGACCCCTTGTCAGATTCTAGAGCATGTGTCAGGGCAGAACCAGCCCCTGCTTGTGTCTCTGCCAGATCTGCTCTTGGTGATACCTAGTGTTAAATCAGAGCCTCTACCTCCTCTGAGTGTTTCCAGGCATTCTTCACTGATCGGCAGGGGGTTTGGCTTCGATAAAGTATCAGAGATGACCTCTACAATGCACTTCATCACCTAGAAAGAGACAAAAATACAAATGAAAGCACTGCTTTTGTGTCTTTTTTTTTCCCTAAATCTAGTTGTTACCAAGGCTAAAACACAGCAGATGATGGCACAAATCTCTGGTTGAGCCAGAACTGAATGTTCGGTTCCTGTTTTACCTAATGCAGGAACAGAAGGTACCTCCCAAAACTGAGAAGTGAGCAAATGACACATGGCAATGGGAAGGGCTTCTTCAACATGACGCACACTTCAGCTGAGGATTTCATGACTACAGCCCATCCGGAGGGTGGGCACATCATGAGATTAAAGGAGATTGGGATATATACATAGAGAGCTCAAAATCATCCTCTTTTAAGCCAATATATCTCAACCTGCATCTCATAAAAGGGCTTAGTGGGAGGTTGTAGAGAGCAACAGGTGATCGAGCTCTTCAATAGGTGACCTTGAAATCTTGCAAGCTATTCGAGCCCCGAGAAGGGCACCATAGTTAGACTGCAGCCAGGCATGGAGGGTGACGTGAGGCAAATTGTACCTTCAAACATGGATAAGAAATAACTGCTCTCAAGCCCTAGAGAAGGCCAAGACACTCTGGAGAGGTGTTTGACCTTGTACTTGAGTGTTCAAGCTATCTATTATAGACTGGAAGAGCTGTTCACGGAGGCAGGTCATCTGAAAGCAGGGAAGTCCCCACACTTTCCTCCGAAGCGTGTGCAGCTGCCTGAGGCAGCTTCCCAGACAGAGTGAACTCTGGGCCTGCCCTGTCCAGCAGCCCTTTTCTTCAGTGTAAAATGAGAAGCATTACTTAATTTGTCACTTGTACTGAGATTGCAGGCCTAGCTCTTCACCCATGCAACTGCAGCACCACTGATCCCACAGGGATCACCCAGTGCTCTATGTGTGGTAGGACGATGAAAGCCAGAGGCGCAAAGGCAAGGTGGAACCTCTGGCAGGGTGGAGGCACCCTCGCCACGGCAGCCCTGCTGTGTGGTCCTGGTAGACCCAAATGGTCACACAGGAGAGAAAGCAACACTCACTACAGTCCAGTGCCGGTTAGTAGTGCAGGAATCAGGCTGCTTAGTTCAAAAGGATGATTATTTATAAAGCAGCCCAGAAAGTATGCAGGACTCACAAATGCCTGTGGAAAAAAAAGAGGCTAAATTGAAAAAAAAGATACAAGTAAGCCTTGGGGGCAAATTATTCACTCACTGAACCTCTTTCTTCTGATGATTTCTGCAGGCAGCCCTAAGAGTCCTGACCTCTCTCACAAGGTGCCATTCTCAGGAGAGCAAAGCAGCGCGGCCGCAGTAGAAATTAAACACAAGTCAGCAATTCCCAGTCATCTACAATGTTGCTCATTCAAGCAATCAGATATAATCATTGCCCAGCCAGAATGAGCACATTTTCACCCTGTGTAAGGAGAGAATTCTGCTTTTGCAGATCACAGCCATAAAATGCTGAACTCTTAACTATTTACACAGTTTGAGGTGATTGCCTGCTGGATTAAAAATGTTGCAGGAAAGATCCAACAAAAAGAAAGCAGAGAAATTTCCCTGGTATCATTCTCCTATACCGCAAGCAATCCATTAATATTGATTTTAGATGACTTTGAGTCACTTCACTCTACCATTAAATAGAACAAACCCCAGATTCTGATACTTCCCTCCCATGTTTCCCAATCTCTGGAGCCACTTATTGCAGCTGTATTCGATGCAGCTTCAGAAGTAAGGACTTTCTCAGCATGAGAAATAAGAACCTGCTCCAATGAAACATTCTGTACAAGCTTTTTGAAGACTACTAAGCTGATTTAAGGTCTTTGTCTGAACACAAAGGAACACATCAGTCACCACAGAGATATGGCCAACTCTGTGGAGAAGCTTTGTAACAGAATGAAATGAAGAGTGCAGTCATTCCACAACACTCTCCTTGACTTTTTCTAAGAGCGAGTCTTGCAGAGTGAGACTTCACAAGGTCATGAAATGACAGCCTGCGTCAGGAAATGAAGGAGAGCCTTTCCAAATGAATGTAATTAATCCAGCGCAGAAACTCTGACTGGAATTTTGCCATAGCTATCCTCTAATTGTGAGCATGTAACTAGATCCTTAAGAGCTGCTCATGCTGTGCCTACACAGAAATCTCCAAAAGATCATGTCCTTACAACGATAGACTTCACCACTTTTGAGTGCTCAGGCCCTTCTGAAATGTATGCTTGTAAGTGGGAAATAGTGTCCTTTGAGCACAAGAGTGGGCAAACACCAGAGATATTGTAAATGCTTTGGTCGTGTCCAGCTCCCCATGGAAAGCCCTTGGTGTAAGGCAAGTCTGATGAGCTGCCCAGGAAAGGCCTGCAGATGCTGACTACCCATTTCACAGCCCCAAGCCACCTACAAATGGTGGTGGCACAGAGCGCGTCTAGAGCAGCATGGTGTGTAGGAAGAGCTGAGGTACTCACTGCGGTACCTGTGTAATGATATCTCTGCCCCGATCTGTCCCATGAGACCAGGACTTCCTCCGCTGAAATGCTGTGTCTCAGAGGGCAGTGAAGGTGGAGAAGCCCTAGTGGCTCCTTCCAGTTGCAGCAAAAATCAAAAGAAAGTTGTGGTCTGGTTTTGCTCTCAGCTAGAGCCTGTGTCAGTGCAGTACCCAGGGAGGGGATAGGCTTGGCAGACACTCCTTCCTCAGTGGAAGCGTTCCCATGGAGTCGCACCAGCTTCCACAAAAGCTAAATGTGGCTTGCTGGGAAGTGACATGTTTTACACATAGGACATACTGGGCAATAGATCTCACAAGGAAAATTGTGGAATTAATAGCTTGTCCCTCCAGATGCCCAATGAGCATCCCACTCTGGTGTGGCCAGTTGAAGGGGCAAGTGCCTGCCCTGCATCCCCTTTCTCAGTTAGCAGCACACAGCCTGAAGCAGGCACCCAGCGGCTGACAGCTCACGGCTCAGCCCCAGCAAGGGCTAAGCAGGCTAAAGGTCTTAACAAAGCAACAGCTCTCCAGGGCCAGGCACATCGGACAGGACACAGGGAAGCGTATCTCATGGCGCTTGCCCTGTAGGTGCCAACAAGCGGAGACGCTGTACAATGAAGCCTGTGGCTGAGAGTGACATGAATGTGGCCTCCCCTACTGCTGCCTGGGGAAAAACATGATGTGGCTAGAAGATTTCAGGAAACAAAGACATTCAAGAAGTAGGGGGGGGGGAGGCTGGTGTTTCCTTTCTGGACATCAATTTCTGTAGGAAAAAATCAGCTAAAAGATCATGTCATCTGAAAGACTATAGGCATCATAATATCAGGAAGGGAAGGTCTGTGACAGGTCAGCACAGGCAAACACACCTATCCAAAGGTGCCAAAAGCCCGCTTTTGGGAGTGCACACACTTGCGAAGTGCTGCTATGAATGTCAGAGAGGTGTGACACAGATGGATGCACAGAAGCCTATAAAAGAAGGCTGGCGAGGTCAGCTAAGTCCCACACTGCCTACAGACATCCAGACAGGCTGAGCAGAAGCTGAGGGCAGATTAGCAACCTGAGAGTAGCCAGTTGCCTGTTTTTCAGGAACATGGATGTTTAAGTAACACACCACACACATACAAACACAGATGTATACACACCCCCAAACACACACAGTTCCAGCGATGCCCTTTCCTGAATCACATCTCCCCCCACTCTCCCCTGAGTCACCTTGTGCTGGGAGCTTTGTAAAGATGAAAGTAGGAGGACTGGGGAGGGTTATAGCCAGCCTCCATCCCCAGCTTCACCATTCTCCAGACAAGCTTGTTTGGTTCCTCTGGTACATCCTGAGGGACTTCCCTCCTGCCCAGGTGTCCAGAAGTGGATGCACAAAGGGTAAATCCTAGTAGGGAGGGAGCGGGGGCGGATGGATCCTGCTGTAGGGATCTCATGCAAATCCTTGGCACTTCCTACAGGGCATTTCAGCAGGGGCAGCCTAACGCCAGCCAGCAAGGTGCAGGTTAAACATCACATCCTTCAGCTTTACTTGCCCCTTCCACTACAGGCCCATCCTTACCTTAGTGTCCCCTTTATTCATGTCGTTTGCCACAGGAAGGGAGACGGCTGTAAAATGAGGGGAGGGCAAAAAAAGAGAGCTTGTTATTCACCTCTACTGGGAGACAAGCAGAGAAATCCTATTCTGCTAAAAATGGGAGTGGAGAAGAGGGGCATCTTGCTCTGGTGGAAGTGGTCCTTGGGTGCAGCAGCTGGATGTGTGCATTGTGCCCCCCTCAGCCTTCCCCAGGGAGGGGGAAGGGAAGGGAAGGGAAGGGAAGGGAAGGGAAGGGAAGGGAAGGGAAGGGAAGG